GATTTGGTGGCTGGGCTGTTTTGCTATGAGTCGGTTGCCAAGCATCAGAATTTTGGTCACGTGACCCCAGGGGACGCTGCGACGGTCATAAGTGTGAAAAACGGTCCTAAGCCACTTTTTTCAGTGCCCTTGCGACATCAAACAGTCACTAAACGAATTGTCGAGGGCTTCCTGCATCTGCTAAGTCCGTTTTTGCTTCGTTAAACATATTGTACGAACGCAATCAGTGGGGAATGTTTCAGGAGACAAGTCAACAGGCAAACATTTAAGAAAGTTTAAAATCTGCCGTGTCGGCGAGGCATGTTTATCTGAAGCCATTCTTGAATTTCCTCTTTTATCAGAATCAACCAAAGGCAGGAACTGGCAAGCTTTTTCCATTTGAGGTTTGAGAAGAGCCGAGAAAACAAAGAGCGACGGTTCATTTTCTCTTTGATTTCGTGTCTGATCGTTATCTATCAAGATATCGAGACGGTTCGCTTTTGAGTAGGTGGTCCCGTCACCCGAGGGTGACGTTTGAGCGAAAGGTAAGCAAAAATTGCCCTGCCGAATATTAATTCAGCTTTTTTTTTCTGGGCGAGAACAAAGGGATCTTGATTTAGTCTGCTCGGCAGGATCTCTGATTTCGTGGTTTTTAGATGTTAGCCACTAAATGTCACTTATTTTTGTGCTAGAATCAAGATCACGTGAAGTGTTAATGCCGCTTTACAGGGCCTTGGTGAGGCCACACTTGGAATACCGCATCCAGTTTTGGTCACCGCGATGTGAAAAAGATGTTGAGACTCTAAAAATGAGTGCAGAGAAGAGCAACAAAGATGATTAAGGGAGTGGAGTGTCTAGTTTAATGAAAAGAAGGACTAAGGATGACACAACAGCAGTCTTCTAATATCTGAGGGGCTCCCCAAAGAATAGAACAGAACAGAACAGAACAGAATAGAATAGAATAGAATAGAATAGAATAGAGCTCGAAGGCACCTTGGAGGTCTTCTAGTCCAGCCCCCCCCCCTGCTCAAGCAGGAGAACCTATACCGTCTCAGACAAGTGACTGTCTAGCCTCTTCTTAACCTCCAGTGATGAAGCACCCACGATTTCTGGTGGCAAGCTGTTCCTCTGGTTAATTGTCCTCAAAGTCAGGAAGTTTCTCCTTAATTCCAGGTTGCTTCTCTCTTTGGTCAGTTTCCAACCCTTGTTTCTTGTCCTTCCCTCTGGTGCTTTGGAGAATCGCTTGACTCCCTCTTCTTTAGGGCAGCCCCTCAAATACTGGAATGCTGCTATCATGTCTCCCCTATTTCTTCTTTTCTTTAGACTGGCCAAACCCAAGTCCCGCAGCCGTCCTTCGTATGTTTTAGTCTCCAGGCCTTTGATTGTCCTAGTTGCTCTTGACTAATTCCATTCCATTCCATTAAATTCTATTCTAATTCCATTCTCTATTCTATTTCTATTCCTATTCTATTCATTCTCTATTCTCTATTCTATTCTATTCTATTCTATTCTATTCTATTATTTTAATTCTGTTCTGTTCTGTTCTATTCTATTCTATTCCATACTCTATTCTATTCATTTTCTATTCTATTCCATATTTTCTATTCTATTCTCTCTTCTCTTCCAGTCCAATCTCTATTCTATTCTATTCTATTCTATTCTATTCTATTCTATTCTATTCTATTCTATTCTATATTTTCTATTCTATTCTATTCTATTCTATTCTATTCTATTCTATTCTATATTTTCTATTCTATTCTATTCTATTCTATTCTATTCTATTCTATTCTATTCTATTCTATTCTATTCTATTCTATATTCTATCCTATTCTATTTCAGGAAAGGAAGGCGACTCTTCACTTTCCTATTTCGATTCTTAACTATCTCTGGCCCTTGAGCATTATAGACATGTGGCGGGCTAGAGCGGCACCGCTGCCCTCCTTTGGTCGACGTGCTTGGTGCGGGGCGAAGCTTTATTCCCGGAAGTGACGTTCAGGAAAAAGTCTCTTGGCGGAACGAAAGAGCAGGAACCGGAAGTTCGAGGCGGCGTCGCCCTAGCAACGCCGTAGGGACGCCGTCTCCAGCGAAACGGCCGCTGCCATGGCGGAACCGGGGCCGCCCTTGACGCCCACCCCGACCACGACCCCGACGCCGTTGGCCCGGCAGAGCAGCGCCCCCAGCCCCGCCCGGGCCTACCACTTGCGCCCGGCCTTCCACCACAGGTCAGCCCGCTCTCCCGTGATCCCCTTTTTCGCTCCTTTGGTCCTACAACAGCCCTGCGAGGTGGGCCTGCGCGGGGCATTGTGGGAAGCCAGAGCGAGCCTGATCGTCGGGACTGTAATCGGCCCCAAGTCACCCAGCTGGCATTCATGTCCAAGGCGGGACTAGAACTCCCCGACTCCTGGGGATTGGCCCAAAGTCACCCAGTCAATTTTATGCCTAAGGCGGGACTAGAATTCACCATCTCCTGATGATTGGCCCACAGTCATCAAGCTGGCATGTCTAAGGCGGGACTAGAACTCACCGTCTCCTGGGGATTGGCCCAAAGTCTCCCATCTGGCTTTCATGCCTAAGGCGGGACTAGAACTCACCGTCTCCTGGTGATTGGCCCGAAGTCACCCAGCCAATTTTATGCCTAAGGCGGGACTAGAACTCACCGTCTCCTGGTGATTGGCCCGAAGTCACCCAGCCAGGTTTCATGGCAAAGGCGGGACTAGAACTCACCGTCTCCTGGTGATTGGCCCAAAGTCACCCAGCCAATTTTATGCCTAAGGCGGGACTAGAACTCACCGTCTCCTGGTGATTGGCCCAAAGTCACCCAGCCAGGTTTCATGGCAAAGGCGGGACTAGAACTCACCGTCTCCTGGCGATTGGCCCAAAGTCACCCAGTCAATTTTATGCTTAAGGCGGGACTAGAACTCACCCTCTCCTGGTAATTGGCCCAAAGTCACCCAGCTGGCTTTCGTACGTAAGGCGGGACTAGAACTCACCGTCTCCTGGTGATTGGCCCAAAGTCACCCAGCCGGCTTGACTTGACTCGATTTGAACTGAACAACTGCAGTGACTCCCTTAACAACTGCAAGGCGTCGTAAAAGGGGGCCAAATTCACTTAACAACTTCTTCGCTTAGCAACAGAAATGTTGGGCTCCATTATGGACGTTGCTTGAGAACCACTTGTATACAACTTGGCCGATCATTGGAAGCTGTTTCTTCTCCAAAACCAGAAGCCCTTTATTATAGAATTTGCACAAGAGCAAAAAAAAAAAAAAAATAGATTAAAGGAGAACTATTGAAAGATCGTGGCATCCGGCCCTCTCAATTCCTGGCATATAGATGGGGAAGAAATGGACGTAGTGACAGATTTTATCTTCCTGGGCTCCAAGACCACCGCAGATGGGGACTGCAGCCAAGAAATTAAAAGACGCTTGCTCCTGGAGAGGAAAGCCATGGCAAATCTAGACAGCGTACTAAAAAGCAGAGACATCACCCTGCCAACAAAAGTACGTAGAGTCAAGGCCATGGTTTTCCCAGTTGCAATGTATGGCTGTGAAAGCTGGACCATAAGAAAGGCTGAGAAAGGCCAAAGAATGGAGGCCTTTGAACTCTGGTGCTGGAGAAGACTCCTGCGAGTCCCCTGGACTGCAAGGCGATCCAACCGGCCGGTCCTAGAGGAGATCAACCCCGACTGCTCTTGAGAAGGCCAGATCCTGAAGTTGAAACTCAAGGACTTTGGCCACCTAATGAGAAGGAAGGACTCACTGGAGAAGAGCCTGATGCTGGGAAAGATGGAGGGCGAGAGAAGAAGGGGACGACAGAGAAGGAGGTGGCTGGATGGAGTCCCTGAAGCAGGAGGCCTGAGCTTCAATGGACTCCAGAAGATGGCAGAGGTCAGGAAGGCCTGGAGGAACGTGGTCCATGGGATGGCGATGGGTCGGACACGACTTCGCAACTAACAACAACAACATTGAAAGGATAGAAAGCTTTTTTTGTATTTTCAGTGGCTTGTGGATGAAACGGAAAAAAATGGTTCCTTCAATTGAGACGCACAAAAAAGTGTGCAGCTCTGCCTTTTGGGGAAATGTCCTTCGTAAATCTTTGGTTGTAGTCATCAATTTAGCCACCAGTCCTCGCGCTTACGACCAATTTGTTTTCTAGGGACACAGATCTTCCGAAGCCAGAGTTTGCAGCCTCCATCTTTCCTATCTGTACCAGACCCCAAGACTGCTACTTCCCTCTTATTTATTTTTTTTCCCCCTTTTCTCTTAGGTTCCGTTCTTCCATGGTGAAAGATTGCATCCGGGAAATCCTGAAGGAGGAGCTGGCCAACGTGCAGTACAACCCGGAGGAGATCGGAGGCCGGACCAAAGTCTTATCCGAGCTGATCCGCGACAGACTGAAAGGTCTTTCGATCCGCCTGCCTTTGCACACTGGGGACCTTGACTTGATCTCCCCGCCGACCGAGCGTTAACGTCGTCCTGGGCTGAGGGCTGGTGTGATTTTTTTTTTTAATCCCAATTAATTTTCCTTTGCACTCTTTTTTTCAGAGAAAGGATTGCACCGATACAAAATACTGGTGCAAGTTGTGATCGGGGAACAGAGAGGCGAGGGGGTGAAGTGAGTTTGTCTTCAATTAAAATTATGGCTCTCGTTTTGGGTTCTTCGGTCATACTGGTTACATTACAGGCAGTCCTCGACTTACAACAGTTCGTTTAGCGACTGTTCGAAGTTACGACGGCACTGAAAAAAGGGACTTAGGACCGTTTGGCACCCTTACGACCGTTGCAGCCTCCCCGTGGTCACGCGATCAAAATTTGGAAGTTTGGCAACTGGCTTGTACTTACGACGGTCGCAGCATCCTCCAGGGTCATGTGATCCCCTTTGGCGACCTTCTGATGAGCAAAAATCAATGGGGGAAGCCAGATTCACTTAACAACCGTGTTACTAACAGGATTCACTTAACAAGCGTAGCGAGAAAGGTCTTAAAGTGGGGAGAACTCACTTAGCCACTGTCTTTCTTAGCAACAGAAATGTTGGGCTCAATTGTTATAGGTTGAGGACTACCTCAATTTATAACAATCTCTGCAGAAGGATCTGGATAGCTAGTGAGACCACACCTGGAATACTGCAGCCAGTTTTGGTCACCATAACACAAAAAAGATGTTGAGAGTTTGGAAAAAATGCAGAGAAGAGCAACTAAGATGACCCAAGGCCTGGAGGCTAAAACATACGAAGGACGGCTGCAGGACTTGGGTCTGGCTAGTCTAAAGAAAAGAAGAAATGGGGGAGACTTGATAGTAGTATTTTAGTATTTGAGGGGCTGCCACAAGGAAGAGGGGGTCAAGCTAGTCTCCAAAGAACCCAGAAAGCAGGACAAGAAGCAACAGATGGAAACTGATCAAGGAGAGAAGCAACCTGGAATTAAGGAGAAACTTCCTGACAGTGAGGACAATTAACCGGTGGAACAGCTTGCTACCAGAAATCGTGGGCACTCTATCACTGGAGGTTTTTAAGAAGAGACTGGACAGTCACTTGTCTGAGATGGTATAGGAGGTTCTCCTGCTTGAGCAGGGGGCTAGACTAGAACACCTCCAAGGTCCCTTCCAGCTCCCATTCTATTCTATATTAGTTGGAGAGATTCTCTTCTTTCATTTCAGAATTTGTCAGTTCACATTTCCATCATTTTTATATTAGGTGACCAGTCTCTTCTTAAAAACCTCCAGTGTTGGAGCATTCACAGCTTCTGGAGGCAGGTTGTTCCACTGATTAATTGTTCTAACTGTCAGGAAGTTTCTCCTTAGTTCCAGGTTGCTTCTCTCCTTGATGAGTTTCCATCCATTGCTTCTTGTCCTGCCTTCAGGCGCTTTGGAGAATAGCTTGACTCCCTCTTCTTTGGGGCAGCCCCTGAGATACTGGAACACTGCTATCATGTCCCTCCTTGTCCTTCTGTTCGTTAAACTAGACATACCCAATTCCAGCAACTGTTCCTTATATGCTTTAGCCTCCAGTCCCCTAATCATCTTTGTTGCTCTTCTCTGCACTCTTTCCAGAGTGTCAGCATCTTTTTTAGATCGTGGTGACCAAAACTGGATGCAGTATTCCAAGTGTGGCTTTACCAAGGCCTTGTAAAGTGGTATTAATACTTCACGTGATCTTGATTCCATCCCTCTGTTGATGCAGCCCAGCACTGTGTTGGCCTTTTTGGCAGCTGCACCACATGGCTGGCTCCTATTTAAGGGATTGTCCACTAGGACTCACAGTTGCTACTATTGAGCAAGGTACCACCTATCCCATACCTGTGCATTTGATCACCTGACCTTGACGATAAGTGTAAAAAATGGTCATCAGTCTCTTTTTTTCAGTGCCGTGATAACTTCGAACAGTCACTAAACCAACTGATGTAAGTTGAGACCACCTGTACTCCTAACTAGTGTCCTATTTTTATTTTTTATTTTAGCATGGCTGCTCGTTGTTTCTGGGATGCCGATACTGATAACTACGCTCAGGATGTTTTCATCAATGTAAGTTCCTTAGTTTTCTCCCTCTCTCTCTCTCTTTTTTTTTTAACCAATGTTCTTCACCAGATTATTTTAAGCAGCCGTCATTTATAAAATCTAGTCGCCGGCTTCTCTGGCCTCCTCGCTGCTCCCTGAGCTGAGTGGGTTTTCTGGCAGGTGTTTCTTGAGCCAGGTAAGGTAACATCATCCGTGCTGGAAGAGGAGAGGAGGAGGAGGAGGAGGAAGAGAGGGAGGAAGATTGTGGGGTGCGTGGTGGTCTCTGAGCTTGGTGGTTTTCTTGCAGTGGGGTTGACTCTTTGTTTATATGCCAGTGGCTTGTCCAACTCAGACGAACGAGCAGTAAGCAACAGCCTAATCAAGGAACTACCCAGAAGAAGGCAAGGATCCCACCAATACTGTCAGGGCAGCCACTTGTATGTAAACGGAGAGCAGCTCTCCCTTCTAGCCCTGATGATGTTCCCTAGTTGGGTCATGAAACGTCTACAAGAAAACAACCAAGCTGAGAGAGCATGAAAGACCCCAGAGTCCTTTTTCTCTCCTCCTCCTCCTCCTCCTCCTCCTCCTCCTCCTTGCATATCCCACTCCCTTTTAGCCCTGATGATGTTCCCTAGTTTTGTCATGAAACGTCTACAACAACCAAGCTCAGAGAGCACCAAAGACCCCATAGTTGTCGTCGTCCTCCTCCATCTCCTCCTCCTCCTCCTCCTCCTCCTCCTCCTCCTCCTCCTCCTCCTCCTCCTCCTCCTCCTCCTCTCTGCAAACCCCACTCCCTTCTAGCCCTGATGATGTTCCCTAGTTGGGTCATGAAACATCTGCAAAAAAACAGCCCAGGTCAAATAGCATCAGGTCTGCACAGTCTTCTTCTTCTTCCTCCTCCTCCTCCTCCTCCTCCTTTTCCTCCTCCTCCTCTTCTTTTTCTCCTCTCCCCCTCCAATCCCACTCCCTTCTAGCCCTGATGATGTTCCCTAGTTGGGTCATGAAACATCTGCAAGAAAGCAACCAAGCTGAGAGAGCACCAAGGACCCCCACAGTCCTTTCCCTTTTTTTCCTCCTCCTCCTCTTCCTCCTCTTCCTCCTCCTCCTTCTCCTCCTTCTCCTCCTCTTCCTTGCATACCCCACTGTCTTCTAGCCCTGATGATGTTCCCTAGTTTTGTCATGAAACGTCTACAAGAAAACAACCAAGCTCAGAGAGCACCAAAGACCCCATAGTTGTCGTTGTCCTCCTGCTCCTCCTCCTCCTCCTCCTCCCTGCATACCCCACTCCCTCCTAGCCCTCTTCTGATAGTACCTGCTCCTTTTCCTTATTAAGAAAAACAACCTTTTTCATGCTGGTTCTGCCCAGTTGCAGTTCCACTCACAACCCTCCTTTTGGTCTCTCCAGGAAAGCCTCTTCTGTGTGGCTGTCGCCTTTGGCTGTTTTTTCTACTGAAGCCGACGGCAAGGTCCAAGAAGAACGGCATTTGTTTTAAAGACCCTGAAGAAGCAGGATGATGATACGCTCCGTCTCCCTTCCTCACGCCTTACTGTGCGCTTGCACACGCATGTATATCAGTGTACATAGTCCATTGTGAGAAATATAGTTTCCAAATGATGTTTTTAAGGTACCCCCAGACTCCGGCTTTTGCTGTTTTGTATATAAAGAGAACTCCAGCCCAGTTCTTCTTGAAATGGAAGAACAACCCACAGTTCATTGCATAAATAATTTCTCTATTGTGTTGCTCCCTGTGCTTAGTGGCATCTGTACACGGGTGCCCAGTGTGACCATTTAAATACAGTTGTTAACAAACGTTACCCTTATCCTTGCAAATCCATTGCCTGTGTTTCAATCTGTTCCTGTATTTTGAAATCTCAGTGAGTATTATAATATTAGCTGCCAAAAAGGCCAACTCAGTGCTGGGCTGTATTAACAGAGGGATAGAATCAAGATCACGTGAAGTGTTAATACCACTTTACAATGCCTTGGTAAGGCCACACTTGGAATACGGCATCCAGTTTTGGTCACCACGATGTAAAAAAGATGTTGAGACTCTAGAAAGAGTACAGAGAAGAGCAACAAAGGTGATTAGGGGACTGGAGGCCAAAGCATATAAGGAACGGTTGCTGGAATTGGGTATGTCTAGTTTAACGAAGAGAAGGACGAGGGGGGACATGATAGCAGCCTTCCAGTATCTCAGGGGCTGCCCACAAAGAAGAGGGAGTCAAGCTATTCTCCAAAGCGCCTGAAGGCCGGACAAGAAGCAACGGATGGAAACTCATCAAGGAGAGAAGCAACCTAGAACTAAGGAGAAACTTCCTGACAGTGAGAACAATTAACCAGTGGAACAACCCGCCTCCAGAACCGGTGAATGCTCCAACACTGGAAGTTTTTAAGAAGAGACTGTCTGTCCGAAATGGTATAGGGCCATCTGTCCGAAATGGTATAGGGTTTCCTGCTTGAGCAGGGGGTTGGACTAGATGACCTTCAAGGTCCCTTCCAACTTTATTATTAATATTATTATTATTATCATCATCATCATCATCATCATCATCATCATCATCATCATCATCATCATCATCATCATCATCATCATCATCATTATTATTATTATTATTATTATTATTATTATTATTATTATTATTATTATTATTATACCTTGCATTATTAATCCCTGCATGTTTCTACATGAGACCTGTTCCTGACTCTCTCTCCTGAAATATTCCCATATTCCTTCTATGTTTTCTTCTGGAAAAGAAGCCAGGAAGGACAAAGTGTTGTTCAAATTGCTTGATGCAAAAACAGAATAGAATAGAATAGAATAGAATAGAAGCTGGAAGGGACCTTGGAGGTCTTCTAGTCCAGCCCCCTGCTCAAGCAGGAGAACCTATGCCATTCTAGTCTCCTCTTAAAAACCTCCAGTGATGGAGCGCCCACCATTTCTGGTGGCAAGCTGTTCCACTGGTTAATTTTCCTCATTGTTAGGAAGTTTCTCCTTAATTTTCTCTTTGGTCAGTTTCCAACCATTGTTTCTTGTCCTGCCCTCTGGTGCTTTGGAGAATAATGTGACCCTCCTCTTCTTTGGGGCAGCCCCTCAAATACTGGAAGACTGCTATCATGTCGCCCCTGTTTCTTCTTTTCTTTAGACTAGCCAAACCCAACTACATAGGTAGTCCTCAACTTACCCCAGTTCATTTAGTGACCGTTCAAACTTGACAACAGCACTGAAAAAAGTGACTTAGCACCGTTTTTCACACCACTGTTACACCATCTCCCCGGTCCCATTATCACAATTCAGAGGCTCGTCAACTGGTTCATGTTTATGACGGTCACGGGGGCCTAGCTTCACGTGATTTCCCGCTTTTGCGACTTCCAACAAACAAAGTCAATGGGGAACCCAGATTTACTTGACAACCGTGTTACAAACTTAACAACTGCAGCGACTGACTTAACAATTCTGGCAAGAGAAGTGGTAAAATGAAGTAAAACTCAATAAAGGTCTCACTTAGCGACAGAAATTCTGGCCTCTTGTTGTTGTAAGGCGAGGACTGTATACTGAGTATATATTTTCACAGCACCCTAAGCCAAAACTCATACATGTGGAGACACAGGCTCTGTTTTGCCACGAGCATCGAAATTGTAATTGGAACCAGGATGGTTAACTGTTGCGTAAATCCATCTTAAGAGATTTTTATTTTAAATCTATGATGGAAAAATCATTCTTCCTCATCGTTTCTAGCCGACTTCATCATGGAAGAGAAATCTTGGTGGTGGGCGAGAAAAAAAAGACAACACGCCTCCTTATCTTAGCTATCAGATTCCAAATCATCTAAAAAGGCCTTTTTAAAAAAAAAAAAAAAAATCTGCGGGGGTGGAAGGGTGGAGCTTTTGAGTAGTCAGCATTTAAAAAATACATATATTTAATCTGGCAAGGAGATAACTGCAAAGCCAGTCAGAAATCTCTGCGGGTCCACCTTCGTAGTTTCCATTGTAAATTTATCATAATCAAGTTACTTCCTGCCTCCTCCGTCAGGAATTTAGCAACTGATAATTGCTTATCTTCGTGTAATTAAACGTTGAGGAGGAGGAATTCACGCAGAGACACGCTGGGGGATCTTTCTACTGGGGACATCTTGCTAATGTTCAAAGATAAGTCCTTGTGCTTAAGCAGAGTTATTTTGAGGCCCAAATGAGAGAGAGAAAAACTCATGCTTTGGCTAAGCTGCCCTACCAGGCCTGCCTCTGTACAGCCTTTTACAGGTGGTTGCTATAGTATGTAAATATATGGAATAAAGGTAGTCCTTCACTTATTACCACAGCTGGGAGTTGGGACTAGAATTTCCATAGAAGAGAGTGGAGTGGAGTGGAGTGGAATTGGGAATAGAATAATAATAATAATAATAATAAGAAGAAGAAGAAGAAGAAGAAGAAGAAGAAAAACAAGAACAAGAACAAGAAGAAGAAGAACAAGAACAAGAACAAGAACAAGAAGAAATAATATAATAGTAGTAGTAGTAGTAGTAGTAGTAGTAAAGTTGGAAGGGACCTTGGAGGTCATCTAGTCCAACCCCCTGCTCAGGCAGGAAACCCTATACCATTTCAGACAAGTGGCTGTCCAGTCTCTTCTTAAAAACTTCCAGTGTTGGAGCATTCACCGCTTCTGGAGGCAGGTTGTTCCACTGGTTAATTGTTCTCACTGTCAGGACGTTTCTCCTTAGTTCCAGGTTGCTTCTCTCCTTGATGAGTTTCCCTCCGTTGTTTCTTGTCCTGCCTTCAGGCGGAATAGTGGAGGGCTACTTATATATAAGGAAAGCTATGGCAAATCTAGACAGCGTACTAAAAAGCAGAGACATCCCCCTGCCAACAAAAGTACGTAGAGTCAAGGCCATGGTTTTCCCAGTTGCAACGTATGGCTGTGAAAGTTGGACCCTAAGAAAGGCTGAGAAAGGCCAAAGAATGGAGGCCTTTGAACTCTGGTGCTGGAGAAGACTCCTGCGAGTCCCCTGGACTGCAAGGCGATCCAACCGGTCAGTCCTAGAGGAGATCAACCCTGACTGCTCTTTAGAAGGCCAGATCCTGAAGTTGAAACTCAAGTCCTTTGGCCACCTAAGGAGAAGGAAGGACTCCCTGGAGAAGGGCCTCATGCTGGGAAAGATGGAGGGCGAGAGAAGAAGGGGACGACAGAGAAGGAGGTGGCTGGATGGAGTCCCTGAAGCAGGAGGCATGAGCTTTAATGGACTCCAGAAGATGGTAGAGGACAGGAAGGCCTGGAGGAACGTTGTCCATGGGGTCGTGAGGTGTCGGACACGACTTCGCAACTCACAACAACTTATAAATAAATAAATGCTGAGAGATACGTGCTCCAGTACTACAGGCCTCCTCTCCACCAGAGGGTGTCGACGTGGAGCCTCAAAGTTGCAACCCCAGACCTGAACTTCCATCTCCCAGGACCGCCTTGAGCCAAACTCCAGGGTCGCCAGCCTGGCAGTGTTGCAAGACCTTCTTGCAATTAGCCAGGCCCTGTCCCTGGTGGGTGCCCAGCCCCTAAAAGACCTCCTGCCTAACAGACCCTTAGCCCTGGGCCTGCAGGGAGGCCCCACAAATTGGGGTCCCCTCTTTCTCCGGTTCCCCCTGGCCTCCGAGCCCTGTTTTATCCCATATGCCCACCATGTCGGACAGACCCCTCAAACACAGGCAGAAATCCAAGCGGTGCGCCCTCTGCGAGGCTGCCTTTCCTGGGGCTGCGGAGGGAGACCTGTGTCCCCGCTGCTCCCTGCGGCCTCTCAGCCCCCCCAGTTTGGCAGCAGGGGTCTTAGGGTCCCAGTGGCGGGAGCCCAGGGCCCCTTCCCCCTGCATCAGCTCGGGGGAGGACCCCAAAGATCCAGACCCCGAAGAGGACCCAGAGATCCAGAAGCCGGACTGGGTAAGTTTGAGCTGTCAGTCTTTTTTCAGTCTACGGCCCTGGCTCAAATCTGGTCTGCAGGAGGACGAGTGTTTTTATTTTAAATTTTAATTTTGAGCCCAGAAACTGGCTTTTAATGCAAGGTCAAAAGCCCGATCTGCAAAAAAATTGCTCCTATTTGTTCCCCTGGTGCAAATACAGTTTGTTGTTGTTAGTCGCGAAGTCGTGTCCGACCCATCGCGACCCCAGGCCTTCCTGTCCTCTACCATCTTCTGGAGTCTGTTTAAGCTTACGCCTCCTGCTTCAGTGACTCCATCCAGCCACCTTCTCTGTCGTCCCCTTCTTCTCTTGCCCTCCATCTTTCCCAGCATGAGGCTCTTCTCCAGGGAGTCCTTCCTTCTCCTTAGGTGGCCAAAGGACTTGAGTTTCAACTTCAGGATCTGGCCTTCTCAAGAGCAGTCGGGGTTGATCTCCTCTAGGACTGACCGGTTGGATCGCCGTGCAGTCCAGGGGACTCACAGGAGTCTTCTCCAGCACCAGAGTTCAAAGGCCTCCATTCTTTGGTGCTCGGCCTTTCTTATGGTCCAACTTTCACAGCCCTACATTGCAACTGGGAAAACCATGGCCTGGACTATACGTACTGTTATTGGCAGGGTGATGTCTCTGCTTTTTAGTATGCTGTTTAGATTGGCCATAGCTTTCCTCTCCAGGAGCAAGCATCTTCTAATTTCTTGGCTGCAGTCCCCATCTGCGGTGATCTTGGAGCCCAGGAAGATAAAATCTGTCACTACCTCCATTTCTTCCCCATCTCTTTGCCAGGAATTGAGAGGGCCGGATGCCATGATCTTGGTTTTCTTAATGTGCAAATACAGTTAGTCCTCGACTTTCAACAGTTCAAAGTTACAACGGCACCAA